ACATTTTATAGTTGTCACTCATTTAGCAATTGCAACCCTGGGAAAAGTGACCTCAATGAGGAACTGAACAACTGCAGTGATTCACTTAAGAAAAGGGGCAAGAAAAGTCGTAAAATGGGACAAACTCACTTAGCAAGTTTTTCATTTAACAACAATGAACGTTGGAGCTCAATTGCAGTCGTAAGTTGAGGATAACCATCCATGTTTAAGAACCTGGATCCTTGTTGACAGAAAGATGACGGAATTGTGTCTTCCCAAAGCACTGGGTTCCACGACTGAGTGGGTTTCTAAGGGTTGATGCACATTCCGATGGCTCGGTTGTCATCATGGGGGAATCAGAGCAGGTGGGAATGTGCCTTTTTTGATAGCAAGGGAGTGTGTAACCGAAAAGGGAAGCAGCTGTTGTGATCACATGGCTGTGCAAATGTATTACGTGGTTGCAGATGGTATGCCACTCTGGTTGCCGGTGTCGTAAGACACTGTTAGTGAAAAAGACAGATGGAGGAGGCGTGAGGCATTGCAGGGAGAAATGGGTGACTGAATAATTAGGTATTAGGTATAATCATCATCAGGTATGGCCTATTCTCACCCCATTCTAGGTTACCAGCTGAACTCTGCAGAATGCATGGACATCCGTTCCAAGCGGGTGGTGCCAGACCAGTATTGCCATTATTATCCTGAAAACAAGAAACCCAAACCAAAGCTGAAGGAATGCAACATGGATCCCTGCCCTTCAAGGTTTGTATTCCAATGTGTAAATGGGTGGTTGGCATTTTAGTTTCCAAGCCTTTGCTAATTCCCTTTTTTATTTATAACTAGCCAGGTGCCCTTCACTCAGAAAAGTAGTGATCGGCAAAGCTATCAATATATGTAGAGTAGAGAATATCTCTACTCTACGCTACCTTATTCTACATTACAATACTTACTCTATGCTACGTTATGCTATGCTATACTACATTAGTCTCCTCCCCTCTCCCTCTCTCCTCTCTGCCTCTTCTTCTCCTTTTCCTTTGCCCTTTCTCCCTCTCTTCTCCTGTCTGCCTCTCCCTCTCCTTTGTCCTCTCTTTCTCTTTCTCCTTCTCCTCTTCTTTTCCCTCTCCTCTCTGCCTCTCCCTCTCCTTTGTCCTCTCCTTATCCTTATCCTTCTCTTTCTCCCTCTCCCTCTCTTCTCCTCTCCTTTCTCCATCTGCCTCTCCTTCTCTTTCTCTTTCTCCCTCTGCCTCTCCTCTCCACTCCATTCCTCTCCTCCCCACTCCACTCCACTCCACTCTTCTTTACTCTATTTTGTTAATATAGAAATGAATTGACACCCTGGTGTTCTTGCATTTGCGTACTCATATTCTTTAGTGGCTTCTTTTTAAATCTGTTTCTGTGGGGTTGCTCTAGACCAATTGGTCTGAGGTGAAGATTCTTCCTGGAGAACTGCAAGGATAAAATTCAGACTTCTCATACTGGAAGATACAGTGAAGAAAATTAAAAATATCATTAGGTCGGGAGGATGTCTATTAGAATGATATGATCTTGGTTCAGGGAAAATGATATGATCTTGTGTGGAAAAATGTTTTGAGGTCACCATCCCCTGAATTGTGGTCAATGCCTTGGGGTTCTGACCTCCAGAGAGGTCATTGCCACAAGGGGATACCCTCCCAGCCCTCATTCTTCCACCTTTAGAGTCCAGAGAATTAATGAATCCAAGATGCTACAACTCTTTACTGTCACCATTACTTGTCCTTCCTCTTCAAGGCATCCTGATTTTCCCAGTTTGCTCATTGGGAATGATTGACCTACTGGATGCCAATTAATCACATGACTTACTTTCCTTTTGGATCAGCCTCTCAAAGCTTTAATCTGTTTTAAGGGAAACAGACTCAAATTCTGTGCAAGGCAAGATGCTTGTACCACATCTGGCTCCTGCCAAGTTCCTAAAGCATCTGCAGTGTACGTATTGAGTTGCACAATGACATTTAAGGCCATTGGATCATCTAGTGCTGTTTCCTGGCTCCACAAAAGTATCTTAAAATAACATTCAATATGTAGCCCAAAACCTTAAATGCCACCAGGCAGAGTCACTGATATATCTAATAAATAAAAGGGAAACACTTAGGGTGGAATTTATTTCCTATAACTACATTGTCCTTTTCTTCTAATCCCAGTCAAATAAAATCATTCGGTTGTGAGATCTCAAAAGCTTGGCTGCACAGAGGTTCCCAGATCCTTCCTGCAGGTCCATCCTTGCAAAACTGGAATTCAGGGCATAAAGGGTTACACAAACTCTCAGGAGGACCCAATCTGAGTTGGTCACTGGAACCAAAAATTTATTCTTCCAAGCTTCTGGGCTCATGTCAGAGGCCACCCTCAGAAAACTTCTCTCTCCCCCCATAATCAGTGGTGGGATTCCAATTTTTTGTACTACTGGTTCTGTGGGTGTAGCTTGGTGGGTGTGGCTTTGTGGGCACAGCAGGGGAAGGTTACTGCAAAATCCCCATTCCCTCCCCACCCCACTAACCTGTTTTCTAGCTCCGTTCTCCTGTGCAGGGCAACAAAAGGAGACCCAGCCAATCATCTGGGACTCAATGGGAAGCAGAGAAGAGATGGGGTTGGTGGGGCCAGTCAGAGGTGGGATTTGCTGGTTCTCTGACCTACTCAAAATTTCCACTACTGGTTCTCCAGAACTGGTCAGAACCTGCTGAATATACCACCTCTGCCCATAATAAATCGCGATGCCTGGATTTTCTTCTTCTTATAATCAAGGGAGTCAGTCGGTCTTTGTGGGGAGCTAGTATGGCATTCAGCAGGTTCTGACCAGCTAGTATGCACTGGGCTGTTTTACACATTGTATTATTATTGTGCCTAGTTGTGTGTGGCTTTTAATTGTTAATTACGGTGTCGATGCCCAGGTTGATGGCCACACACAATGAGGCACCATATAAATGCAATACATAGAACAGTGGGTGAAGGTTCATTCTCCAAGCTTGTGGGTTGGTTTCTGAACATTTTATTACTGGGCTAGGTAGCATCTTCAGTGGCGTTTAGGGGATGTCAGTGCAAGTGTCCATCTGTACCCTCATTTGTCACACCCACACCTGACCCATGACAAGATCTACTGACCACATGTAGCCCTGATACATAGAAGAAGACAGCAGACACTGGCATACCCTAAACCAGCTGGCTGAGGAATTCTGGGAGTTGAAGTCCACAAGTCTTAAAGTTGCCAAGGTTGGACACCCCTGCCCTAAACTATGCTGAAGATGTCGCCTAGCCCAGTAACGAAATGTTCAGAAACCAACCAAGCTCAGAGAATGAACCTACAGATATTCGCCACTATTGCCAACAGTCCAGTGCACTCATTCTGGAGAGAGTGAAGTTGCCTGAGGATGGGCTCCAGTAAGAGCCCAAAAGCTTGGAAGAAGAATAAAGCTTGAGTCCTGGTGACAGACTTGGAGTGGATCCTGCAACTTTACCCTGGGACGCATATATTCGCAGGCAGGCAGGCAGTGCTTCAAACAGTTAAACTTGCTGCAGCTTCACGAGAGTGTTTATTAAATGGTGAGACAGCGTGTAATATGAGGACTCCCCTTAATATTGAGAATTCTAGAGATGAAGGTGCTAAAATTCTTGTGGGTTGAATATTCTACGTCGTTTCGTATTACTTCTCCTCGCAGTTATTAGGACCAGACTCAAGCCGGAGGGTTGGAATGCCCAGCCTCCAGGCCTGTGGGGCTTCTCCTTCACTTGAAGTCCTCTGGGCTCAGTCGCTGGAGATGGGCCAGAACGTTTGAGATGGAATCCATGGAGAAGCAAATAGACCCTGCTGTTTTCCTAATCACACCCGGGCAGAACGCTGGGCTTTGCCATTTTAATCCTTGGCCCTTCCGGAACCAAGTTTTTGCATATCGCTGTCCCTTTCTGTGCCTCAAGAAGACGCTGAGGCTTCTTACATTCACAATTCCAGATAGCACACTAATCATGGGAGGAGCGGTATTAATTTACATAGTTCCACCAGTATACAAGGCACCCTAAAGGGAACGAAAAGACTGTGCGCCAGCCGTTGCAGGCTGAAAACAAAAATTAAGAAGCAGGAAGGGGAACGGGAGAAGAATTTGCAAGCATTTCAGTTAAACACCCTTTTGCAAAGAATGTTTCCAAGCAGATCCTTTGGTTGGAGGAGAAGAATGTCTAGGCTGAAGACACCCTCGATTTGAAAGTCTTCTACTTCCAGGAAGGTCTTTTATACGTGTAGAGAACCAGGGAGATGACCTTGGAGAAGAAATCAAAGAGGCCTTAGGAAAACACCAGTTGCAGAAGAAACAAACCCAGAGGGGCAGGAGAGACTCATACTAGCTCCCCACAAAGACCACTGACTCCCTTGATTATAAGAAGAAAGTGGAAAAGAAAATTCAGGCATCGCGATTTAGTTCTCGTCTTCCTACAGAATATCTTTCCTGATTTGATCTACCTTGATGGGCTGACAGTAAATACAGCTGGGGGAGAAAGTTGTCCAGGTTGAAGGCACTTACAAGCCTCCTGCATTTGTTACATTTCACACCTTTTCTGTGTTGTAGAAAAGAGGGGATGATCTTAGCTTGGTTGTATCTAGATCTTTTACCTGGAAGCAGATTTCATTTGATTAGAATTTTGGAATGACAGAAATATTCACAGAAAACCTAATTTCTGAGGAGGGATTGGAAGTATAAAAAGACTTCACAATGATGTTTGGGAAGCAGCTCCTTCTATAGGTAAAGGTAAAGGTTCCCTTCGCACATATGTGCTAGTCGATTCTGGCTCTAGGTGCTCATCTCTGTTACAAAGCCAAAGAGCCAGGGCTGTCCGAAGACGTCTCTATGGTCATGTGACCCGCATGACTAAACGCCAAAGGCACACGGAACACTGTGACCTTCCCACCTAAGCAGTCCCTATTTTTCTAGTTGCCTTTTTTTTTTACATGCTTTCAAACTGCTAGGTTGGCAGAAACTGGGACAAGTAACGGGAGCTTACTCCATTACGCACACGGCACTAGGGATTCGAACCGCTGAACTGCCGACCTTCTGATCGACAAGCTCAGTGTCTTAGCCACTGAGCCACCATGTCCCAGAACTCCTCCTATAAGAGGCAATGAAGATGGTTAATATCCAGGACTCTGGATATATATTTTTTCTCTGCTGTAGTTCCACAATCCGGAGGAACCTATACACGTGTTCTATTCAGGCACAGTGAGTTAATTGTGGATGTCATAGTTTCTAAAGTCACATCAGCTTCCAGACCTCTCCCCCATCCATCCACCCACCCCACCAACCCTTCTCAGGGACTAGGAAAATAACTGCTGCAGTAATGTTATGTTTTTACAAAAAAGTCCCGGAATTATATTCCTCTTTGTTAGCTAACTGGTTTCCTTACTTACCTCCTTGGGAAAATTAAGTTCAACAATTAAGGTAAGATAGTCAAGAAGCAAACACCCACCATAGGACTGAGTTGTTTTCCTAAGTTTGGTGCGTGTTTTTTTAAAATAAAGTAATATATCAAATGGAAAATTGTAATCTGGCATCTGGCAAATAACTTTTTAAATGCCTCTGCTTTATTCACAGTGATGGATTTAAGGAAATCATGCCCTATGATCATTTCCAGCCACTTCCCCGGTATGTATGACGCTTACAAGATACAGGTTATTAGCATTCCATTGATAGCCTACTGCAGGCACTTAGTCTATAATTTCATACATACAACCTCCTGCTTACTCAAGACGAAGGCAAGGAATTTATTGTTGCCATAGATGGTAATGTCTGAATTTGACCGTCTATGACATTTGGTTGTTGAGATAAAGTCACTCCAGAGTACAGGGCATTTCAATACATTAATCCACTTGCCTACTTAAGTGCAGGTATTCCATTAGCAAGATATGGAATAAGATAATAATTGTTGAGTACAGTGTGGAAGTCGGCTAAATAAAGACAACTCCCCAAAGGTATTCATGAACAAATGATCTACACTGAATCCTGAATTTGGTAAAATTTCAGCGGGATAAAAAGCTGGGGATCATTAATATATCTATGGAAAGAGATAACATATTTTCAATGGCTATCTCACTGTCAATTTTGTGATCTGGGTAAGGTTTTTTTTCCCTATTTTTCAAAAACTGTGTTGCATAATAACCATGGCACAGAAGAACTGTAAAAATTAGAATGAAATAGAATCCTTACTTCTATTTACTTTGACTCAACAGTAAGTGAAGGAGGGAAGAAGTTAGATCAGGAGTAATGACCTCACAATTTCCCCATGGCTAGAAAGAATTGCCACTCCTTCAAAGTTGTAGAAACCCATTTCTCCCTGATTTGATTTCATTTGGAAGTTCCTTTGTTTGCTACTTACGAAGCCACAGTAGGTTCCTCCCAGGTTCTCTGATGCCTTCAGTTATTGTATTGCAGAATTCCTACCTGGCAGGTAGAAATGCCAGGGACAGAGCAAAAACGAAAGACAAAGGAATTGGCTTGGATTTGATGGCATCCTCTCCTCCCTTTAACTTATAAATAGTAGAACCAGATGGAAGCTTCCTTTATGATCCGGTAGAGCAAGGGTCTTCAAACCTGGCAAGTTTAAGACTTGTGGACTTCAACTCCCAGAATTCCTGAGCTAACATGACTGGAGGAAGAATTCTGGGAGTGGAAGTCCACACATCTTAAAGCTGTCAAGTTTGAAGCCCCCTGCAGTAGAGCAAGATTATCCAAATGAGGGAGTTGGGATAAGAGGTGGAAGTCAACTTATGCAGAGGGTCTTGAATGACCTCAGCCATAAGTTAGGCTACAAATGCATCACCGGAATGTTTAAACAGATGGAGAAATCTTGGAGGAAAAAAAATTCCCACGCTACATGCCCCTTCCCAGTTCTATGTCCTTACACATGCTTTCACAGATTTCACAGTTTAAACACTTTCTGGAGTGCTAAGCAGACCCTTGGCCTGTCCAGCCTCTGAAAAACACATCTCAGGGACTGTTCTAGAAGCTCCCTTTTGCCATCCCTGTAATATCCTCCCAGGAATTGGGTATCGGGCTTGTATTTTTGAACTGATGGAATAACGAAATGCAGAAACCTGAACTGTACATGCAACCACATTAGATTATGCTGGCATATTCAAATCTAATCATAGGTAAATTTTCTTTACTTCCTAGTCGTGATTTAAAATGTCTAAAATGTTTCATGTCTATATGGCTGCAGACATACCGACTGCATCTAAGATCTCTAATGTTTGGTTATGAACTTTCTACTGAACAGCTGTGTATTATTTATAATAATAATAATAATAATAATAATAATAATAATAATAATAATAATAATAATAATAATAATAATAATAATAATAATAATAATAATAATAATCTGATTCGACTACAATTTGCATGCTCCCCTTGCAGGAACCATTAATCCAGACTCCTGTCATGTTCCCAATTTCAGTTTCAATTTTCACCAGTTCTTCTCACTGGTGCAGATGCCTGCTTAAATGATCCTAGCTTAAAGGATGGTGCTCTTTTAATGTCCTGCAGTGCCATTAGAATAGCAAGCTGTGAATTTAAAAGTGATCTGGACATTTTAAAAAACCACTTCTGAGAATTTTCTCCAAGCCTGAAACTAATCTGGGAGACCAGTATGTTTCTGAATATAAACTTATCCCTGTCTCTTCTCGTATGCTATATTAGTATTGTTTACCCCGGCATTGTAAACACTTGTGCGCTTGTTTGCAAATTAAAAAAAAAAAAGATTACAAGGCTACCTGGTGAGAGTGGCTTGCAGAGACAAAAACCTGTCAGTGTAAAACTACAGCTTCCGAACCAATTTAGAACAAAGACCATAAAAGAAGACCTGACCTGGGGTGCTCCCATCGCAGCTCTAGTCAAAGGGGTCCAGCAGAGATTATACTACCTGAAACTTCTCAACAACTGAATGAAAAACTGCTGGTGACTCTCTACCACTGCACCATAGAGAGTATCTTAACTTACTGCACCTGTGTATGGTTTGCCAATTGCACAGTGGCAGATGGGATAGCGCTCCAGAGGGTTAACATCATTGCCCAGAAGATCATGGGTTTCCCTCTCCCCTCTTTGGAAGAGCTGTATAGCTCCCGCTGCCTTAAGAAAGTTCAAAACATCCTCAAAGATCCATCTCATCCTGGGAACCCCCCCCTTTTTTTAAATTATTACCACCTGGCAGACGGTACAGGATAATAAAAACAAGGACAAATAGTCTGAAAAACAGTTTCTATCCCAGGGCAGTAGCTCTTTTGAATTCTGCTGTATAAGTACAGTGTTGGTGTGGTGTTGGGGGTTTTCTGTTCAATGTGTAGAGTGTGAAGGATGTGTGTTTATTGTTTTATTTTTTTATTTTTTATTTCATTTCATTTTAATTTATTTTATTTTATTTTATTTATTATTTTATTTTATTTATTTTGTCACACGATTATAAGATAACAGGTATAAGTATAAACATAGTTATGAATACATGAAATACATATAAGAAATATATATAAGATACATATAAGAAAAATAAAAAGAAACAATAGTGCAATGACAATAAAGTAAACTAAACTAAACTAAAGACAAAACAAAAGAACCCTGAAAACAGAAACTGGATTAGAAATAGCAGAAACTGGAATTGCAAGCCGAAAGGAATAAATATATCTTAATCTCAGTGTCAAAAGGATGCACTAGTTTTTGCAGATTTCTCTGCCTTTGTTCCATAGCTCAACCTTCATGCCTCCATGCTTGAGCTCGGTTGGAATCATGGAATCAAAAAGAATCATAAGGCTGGAAAGGACCTTGGAGGTCTTCTAGTCCAACCCCCTGCTCAAAAAAGGAGAATTTGTATTACCCCAGAAAAATGGTTGTCCAGTCCTGTCTTGAAAACTTGCAGCGATGGTGCAATCACAACTCCAGGAGGCAAGCTGTTCCCTTGGTTCACTGTTCTTTTGTTTGCTTTCATTGGTGGGAGGGTGGGGGGGAGATACTCAGAAGATACATCAGTACACATTCTCCAAACCCCAAACCCATTTATCTTTTCCAAGAAAAGATATATGGACCAAAGCTATCGGGTAATACATAATCAAACCCAGGTTAATTTTTTTTTTTCATATATGTTTAAATAGGAGAGCTTGGTCAGAGGGAGTTGTCTTTTTTTTTTTTTAGTAGTCCCCTAGGGGTTTTTGCAACCTGCAGCTCTGCCCCAGTTTTTCTGCTGAGTTCGTTAGGAATGTTCTACTCTAATGCAAAGTGACACTCGTGTTGGAACACTTTAAAAAAAAACTAGCCTTTGGGTCATTCTTTAATATCTCATTAATCATTCCCACAGTTGAGCTAACGAAAGGATAACAGCAGATGAGCATATGTATCAGAGGTGATGGCAAAACCATTAGCTCTAAGCTCTCACACGTTGTCTGGTTTTGATCATGGAAGCTTGGTTGAAATGTCAACACTTTACGTGCAGCTAGTTTCATGTTCGGTTTGAGAATGATTTGATTAATTTATTCCAAGGGGGAAGAGTTATATGAATCATTTTGGACAAGGAACATTCTCCTCCTTCCTTCAGCATCATTGCGAGCAGTTATTTGAATGTACCTTGTGGATTTATAGGTTTTTGCTCCGTTTCTCCTGGGTTGGACTTTATTATTAAACTGAGCTGTGGTGGCTCATTGGTTAGAATGCAGTTTTGAGGGCTGACTCTGCCCACTGCCAGGAGTTCGATCCTGACCGGCTCAAGGTTGACTCAGCCTTCCATCCTTCTTAGGTTGGTAAAATGAGGACGCAGATTGTTTGGAGGGAATGTGCTGATTCTGTGATGACTCGGGGCGTGGCACAAAGGCAACACAGTCAAATAAGCAATGAGTCCCTTTATTATCTCCAACTTTGCCCCCAATGTCCAGGTTACCTTCGGCTGGAGAAAAACTCTCCCAGGAACAGCCTTTAACTGTAGAAAATCAGTCCAAAACAAGGTACACACAAACTGTAACTTAAAATCCAAACAAACTAAACTGAAGTAATTAGCTTGACAGGTCAGGAGAAGGAATTACGGACTTGAAAGCATAGCAAAACTCACACAGTTGGGAAGATGCCAGGAACACAGATAAGCCATGATGATACAAGATAAATTCATTATTGCTCCCAACAGCTTGCTGTGCGCAGCTTTCTTTTTTATACAATGTGTTCCCAGCTGCAGCTAAGCCACGCAACCCATGGTGCTCCTTTCTCTGTTCCTCCCTGCGTGCCCTAGGATGAAGAGGGGGTGGGCCTGGGTCTTCTTCTGAACTCCTTCTCTCTTGTTCTACCTCTCCCCTGTTCTGGCCAGCTGGACTTTGCCCTTCCTCAGTTTCTTCCACAGCCAACACCAAGTCAGATTCCAACAGGGGCATGACGGACTCTGTAAATTGCTTAGAGAGAGCTGAAAAGCACTATGAAGCAGAATATAAGTCCAAGTGCTATTGTTGTTATCTCTATGACTTTCTAAGAAAGGTTTTGGGGTGGGATACTGTCTGAGCTAGGCAGTGAGCAAAAAAACACACCCCTAGGAATATATTGATTCATTTATTGACCACAGTGTTCACTGTACAATCATCACCCCAAAAGTAGTGAATTTAGGTCCGGTCACCCAGGTGCCTTGGCTTATGACTGTCATGATTTACGATGGAAATTTGGGGCTCCATAATGGCCATAAGCTGATTACTGCCTATATAAAATGTTCGTGTAAAATTGAATTATGCTCTTAGGATTCAGTAGCAAGGTTTTATTATTTTATTTTACTACCCAAGGTTTTAAGTCTGAAGGGTGTACATTTTTAACACAACCATTGTGTGTTCAAAATGCTCTAATCTGAATTGAAAATTGAGTAGGTTGCGTCCAGAATAGACTGTTTGGACTATCAGGGAGAGGTTTAAAAATTAAAAACAAGGGTGTTTTTTTTTGAGCTCTGTGTCCAGAATCACCAAAATATCCTGTTTAAGCCCCTTCAAATTTGCAATTGGTTGAAACGGAAATATGTTGCACATGGTTAAGTCTCAATGGCCAAGGGAGGAAGCATTCTACTGTTTTCATTATCACTTGCATCTCATCTTCTACTTGGGATGCTGTTATTTCATTCAAACAGCTGGGAGCACAATCCTTGGACCACTTGCTCAGTTTCATGTGGAGGAGGAATTCAGAGAAGAAGCTTTGTCTGCGTGGAAGAGACCATGCATGGAGAGATACTGCAAGTAGACGAGTGGAAATGTATGTATGCTCCTAAGCCCAGGGTCATGCAAGCTTGCAACCTGTATGATTGTCCTAAATGGATAGCTCTGGAGTGGTCACAGGTAAGGAAGCAGAATATTTAAATTGCTTTGAGCGGGGGGGGGGGGGGAAGCTTTCAGTTGTAATGGTTGGGATGATTGATCGCACATTATATGGAAAGTTCCTTGCAGAAAATATATATTTGGGTGGAGGTAGCACAGGACAGGGACGCGGTGGCTCAGTGGCTAAGGCGCTGAGCTTGTTGATCAGAAAGGTCGGCAGTTTGGCAGTTGGAATCCCTAGCGCCACATTATGGAGGGAGCTCCTGTTATTTGGCCCAGCTTCTGCCAACTGAGCAGTTCGAAAGCATGTAAAAAAACCAAGTAGAAAAATAGGGACCACTTTGGTGGGAAGGGAATAGTGTTCCGTGCACCTTCGGCGTTTAGTCATGACCACAGAGACATCCTCAGACAGCGCTGGCTCTTCGGCTTTGTAACGGAGATGAGCACCTCCCCCTAGAGCCGGAAACGACTAGCACGCATGTGCGAGGGGAACCTTTACCTTTACCTAACACAGGTAGTTCTCGACTTACGACCACAATTGAGCCCAACATTTCTGTTGCTAAGTGAGTTTTGTCCCATTTTATGACCTTTTTTTGCCACAGGTTCAGTGAACCACTTCAGTAAATCACTAACATAGTTGTTAAGTGAATCTGGTTTTTCTACTGACTTTGCTGGTTAGAACGTCACAAAAGAGGATCACATGACCCTGGGACGTCATAAGTATGAGTCAGTTGCCAAGCTTCTGAATTATGATCAGGCGGCAGTGGTCATAAGTGTGAAAAATGGTCCTAAGTCACTTTTTTCAGTGCCGTTGTAACTTTGAATGGTCACTGAAAGAACTGTTGTGAGTCAAGGATGACTTATAACAATAGCATTAATAGTTGCACGCAGGTAAATGTAACCTCCAGAACAGAAGTGGTATTCAGCTGGTTCTGACTGGCTCTAGAGAACTAGTAGCAGAAATTTTGAGTAGTTCGGAGAACCGGCAAATATCGTCTCTACCTGCGCCCATCTATTCTTTGCCTCCCATTGGGTCCCAGCTGATCAGCTGGGTCTTCTTTCATTGCCCTGCACAGGAGAACAGAGCTGGAAAGCAGGTTAGTGGGGTGTGGAGGGAATGGGGATTTGCAGTATCCTTCCCCTGCCATGCCCACAAAGCCACACCACACCTACCAAGCCATGCCCACAGAACCAGTAGTAAAAAAAAATTGAATACCACCACTGTTCCAGAATATTTTTCTGTGTTTGTAATGCTAAACCCCCATGTGAAAAAACTTGGCTCCTTAGCTCTAATTTGCACCTATCATCGTTTCAACAAATGTGAAAGGAATGTGTGTTCTGGTGATCTCTTTCCCTCCACTTCCAACAAAGTACCCAACAATCAGAAACCTCCTTGTGAGTCTTTGGGAGGAGAAAACAGCAAATAATACATGTGTTTATCTTAGAATTCTACTTCATTATAGTGCTCAAGTCTTTCCTAAATGCAAAATTCAAAACGCAAAATATAAAAACAATAAATAATGTAATACCAGTAATAATCAGAGGTCCTGGAGGCATATAAGAGGTAATCACCACATTTGGAAGTACAAAATTGCCTGAGCTTGATATTACTGGCTTTGCAAATAAAAACACTGTCTTGCTTAGAACTTCCTACATGGTGCAGTTATGCCTTCTTGATCCTTGCGATCTTAATTAGAACTAAACCATTTTAAAATACCAGCTGTTGGAGGAGAAGAGCAGACAAAGCTAAGGTGGTGGTGGAGTTAAGTGCATTATCAGCCTAGAGTTCTTACATTGCCACAAACGGTCCACGTCCACTTGCCCTTGAACTCTATTGATCCTTATCGGGCATCAATTTAGTACTGAACTTTAGTTGATTGGATTCTTATGTATAAGCTTGTGCAAAAAAAAAAAAAAAAACCTTTCCAAACTGCACCTTAATGTATGGCCCTGATCCTTTGCTCCTAATATCTGTTGCTGGGAATCAGGGAATCTTTTAAAACCATTTTAAAATACCCAGCAGCTGTTGTAGGAGAAGAGCAGACAAAGCTGGGGTGGTGGTGGAGTGAAGTGCCTCATCAGCCTAGAATTCTTACATTGCCACAAACGGTCCACGTCCACTTCCTCTTGAACTCTGTTGATCCTTATCGGGCCTCAATTAATACTGAACTTTAGTTGATTAGATCTTGTGTATAGGCTAAACTTTCTGAACTGCAATATGGCCCTGATCCTTTGCTCCTAGCAGCTGTTGCTGGGAATCTAGCAATCTTGATAGTGGTTGACCAACTTAGGTCTTGCAGAAGGAAGATTGTAATTTCTTGATCAGAAAAATAGGGGGGGAAATCTGACAACCAGGTTTAGGAGTGCCAGACACCATGGATGGTACAAAGGGCAGCATAGCAATCCTGCGACATTTGTTAGCCACCTTAGTTTTTGACTGATCTGCCCCTTTCTACAGTGCACTGTGACCTGTGGCCGAGGGTTACGCTACCGAGTGGTTCTGTGTATTGATCATCGTGGACAACATACCGGCGGTTGCAATCCTCAACTAAAACTCCACATAAAAGAAGAGTGTCTCGTGCCAGTCCCTTGTTATAAACCCAAAGGTAACTGGATTAACATTATTAATGACATTGATTGACTGTATCAAATGTATGCAACTGCAGATAAGTAAAGAGAAAACAATCTCATAGATTGTCACCGCTACAGTTAACTGTATAGATTGTCAGTATCATAGATTGTCACCGCTACAGTTAACTCCAATTCCAATCTGATCAAGGAATTGTGTCCTCTGTATGATGGCCTTTGACATGAAGAGCTTTTATCTAAAGTTGTTCCACTGATTAATTGTTCTAAGAAGGTATGTTCTGACAGTTAGAACAATTAACCAATGGAACAACTTGCCTCCAGAATTTGTGAATTCTCCAATACTGGAAATTTTTAAGAAGAGATTGGACAACCATTTGTCTGGAATGGTAGAGGGTTTCCTGCCGAAGCAGGGGGTTGGACTAGAAGACCTCCAAGGTCCCTTCCAACTCTGTTATTCTCTTCTCTTCTCTTCTCTTCTCTTCTCTTCGCTTCGCTTCGCTTCGCTTCCTATTCCTATTCCTATTCCTATTCCTATTCTATTCCTTTCTGTTCTATTCTATTCTATTCTATTCTATTCTATTCTATTCTATTCTATT